TTTTTGCTTTTGTATTCTTCACCTCCTCAAACAACTCAGCCAACACCGCCTACCAGGGATTCCATCTACCGGAAGTCCTGCTGTACCACCAACATCCGGTCCATCGCGAAACGCCACAGGTACGTGCAATAACAAACCAAAACCAATTAAACCTCAGGTGACTTCCCACACTTTATAACGGTTTCACACATCAGGTTGAGGCCTGCACTTTGCTGTGTTCATATATTTTCCCACGCTTGACGGCTCGTCACCTTCTAAACTCAACCAATCAGCAACCTTCCCGCGCTTAGCACCATTCACACGTTTTCCCACGCTTGTCACGGGTAGCATGTTTTCCGACACGTGTGACTTGTTTTCCCGCTCCTTGCACTGGTTGCTTGTCTCGTCTCGCAGACATCGGTTACACTTTTATTCTTGGATTGATTCTATGTTTCCGGGCGCTTGGCACAGGTTAGCTATTTTTCAGCGCTGGTAACAGATTCAATATATCCTGCGCTTTGCAATGGTTACACAGTTTCTTTTAACTTCGAAAAAATGAGGGTTCGAGAAATCTAGATTCCACTGCATTTAGTTTCGTCCATTTTCATTTCCTTTATTCTTGCTATCCACCCGATTAGTTTCCATTTGTATGATCCAAGCTCTTCATAGTCGTAATATAAGCCTGCTTCTTTGTAGTTCGAGGATTAAATCTAAAAAAGTTCTTTTTAGGTTCCTGTGCTGATCCACTTGGTCTTTGGTGGGAAAACCGACTCCCTGACAGCGCATTCACTGCCTCTTCACAGCTGTCCTCTGGTAAGAAACGGTTGATTTACCTGGCAAGAATGGGTTTTACTGCATGCGGCTGGTATCATTCTCGTCCTCAGAGGCCGCGTACCAAGAATCACGTCTTCTGGCCGGACCCGATTTTCTGAACGTGCGCAGAGTATTTGTTTCGTATTCTCAGCCAATCAGATTTGCCAGATTTGACGGGAAGTCCGTGAATCGCGGACTTCCGGTGTCTCTGCGATTGTTCAGAAAATCGGGTCCGGCCAGAGGTCGCGATTATTGGTGCTGACCAAAAGGAGTGCAGCCTCTGGGGACGAGGATGGGTAGTATAAGACGTGTAGGTGGCATCGCTTTGAGTCTACTGTCACACATCTGTAATTGGTTAAAAACTCATGCAAAGTGACTTAGAAAGCAGGAGAACTTGCTATTTTCGCACCCAATCAGAAAAACCTTAAAAAAAAAAAAAACAATTAAAACTAAATCAAAACGTGACTTTGCATAAGCGCGTTTTCCCGTCTTTTGCACGTTTCTCCCGTCTTTCGTCTTTTGCACGAAAACCTTGTACCAGAATAAATTTAAGTATATCTTAGTCCTTTTTCTATTTTCTAAGAGCTAAAGATATAAACGGTTGCCTGAGATAACACCAAAAAAGAATTTCTCATGGGAAGTGGAGAAAATAAATTTCAAAGTTCGGAGAAACTGTGCAAACACAAGTGAAATTTCATCATCAGTTTCATTTCACCAGTACTTTCAAATGTTTGATATGAATTTCAAAATTTGTTTTCGACATGTGGTGTTGTTAGAAATGATTTCTTTTGAGAAGATATTTAGAACAGTCACACAGAAGTTTCCAATACAATGTAAATAATCTCGGTTCAAAGTTTTTGTCCGCTTTTTACTCGAACTTAGGTGGCGTCTTTCTTAATGTGTCGTTCACCTTAACTGATTAAATTCTACTTAGTATAAGATTTCCATTCTAGGACGGGATATATTCGTTGAACACGTCAAAAGG